TGGAGCTGGTGTCCAGATTCAGCGGCTGTTAAAACTCATCAGTTTCAGCAGCGGCTGATGCCAGTTCCGACTTACATACAGATTCTACTTAAGAACAAACCTACAGTGCCTATCTTGTACGTAACCCGGGGACTGCCTGTACTGAATTCACTAGTGCTTTTTATACAGCCTATTGTAAAACTAGGCAAATATATAGATGAGTTGATATACCTCTGAAAGACCACTGTGTACTCCTGGTTGACAACCACTCATATATGCAGCCTGTATCGTTTTGATAAAAATGTTCTTCTATTTTCCTACTCTTAGTTAGCATCTTGTACGTAACCCGGGGACTGCCTGTACTGAATTCACTAGTGCTTTTTATACAGCCTATTGTAAAACTAGGCAAATATATAGATGAGTTGATATACCTCTGAAAGACCACTGTGTACTCCTGGTTGACAACCACTCATATATGCAGCCTGTATCGTTTTGATAAAAATGTTCTTCTATTTTCCTACTCTTAGTTAGCGCTTTGAGACATGTTCAAGAGTTTTGTTTTAAACAAAAGGATATAGTAAGGGTTTTCTAACAAAAGTGAAGCCATGCAGGCCTCTTTGATCATTGGGCGGGCCATGAGTGTACGTCTTCTCCAGTAGTACTAAAGATTGAAACAAGAGTACGGTTAAAAGATTACTGTTAAAACTTCAATTTTTCATTAATGCTTTCAAGTTTATATACTTACATGATCTCCAGTGCCTGCTAGATGAATGCACACAGGTTTGTATTTGCTGTTCCATCTCTTGGGTAGTATGAATTGAAACCTATCAAAAGCACATTATTTAAGATAGCAAAGTAATAAAGCAAGATATTCATACACCCTGAATAAACACTTGTTACATACTCAGACTAACTGCCATGAATCTAGCAACATAATTTTTTTCATGAATGCAATTAAAAACACATCAAAAAGTTGTTTTCACCTTCAGAAAGTCACAAGCACCAAGAAAGCAAGTAATAAGCTAAAGATCACAGTCCAAATGAGATTACCACTTCATTATTGAATTCTAAACTTTATCGAATTGAGAAATGGAGACCAAGGTTAGGCAAGTCTGGTTAGATCCCTAACAAATACTTCTATTTGGGAGAAATGGAAATGGAAAATTAAGAAGTAACAGTAAAGTTGTTTTTTTAAAAAAAACAGCTAACAAGTGTTTGATAATACCAAACAGTTTTCTACACCCTCCTCTCCCCATCATTCAGTTTCTTCAGTTACTTCTTGCTGACCCTAAGCTTCTCTCAGTCTAGTTGTGACCTATGAAAGCAAACCTGTTTAATTACTAATACTTCATCACAAGAGGTGTCCTGTGCAATAAAAAATGGCTTGTTTATGGAAACAATCATGAATAACCAGCTAAACTAACCAAATTAGAAGAACACACAGAGTCCACTACAGTGTTGCTTTTCACACATGAAGACTACTTAAAGGTCAAAAATAACTTTTATTAATACATTTATTCTGATATTACGAGCTTGAAAGAAAAGCAACTTGTCTTTATTTTACCTAGTATATTTTAGAACTTTAATAGCTCCTATAACTTACCTAACCACTACATGGAAGTTATTAATAAATTGCATTTTCAATTGTGGTATGAGTCAGGCCCAGAATGTTAAGAAATGGCTCCATTTATACCCAACAAAGAGTAAAAAAAATATGGTATGGATGCCCATTAATCATTTTTTGAATAGTATCTTCAGGGAAGGTAAGCTGTAACAATAAACCAAAATGTATTGGCTGGTTACAAATGTTGATGTCATGACATCAAGGCCTACCTATCAGACTGAGGTCAATTTTTATGCCCAAAGCAAAGCTTAAAAAACTTAAGACTTCTGCTTGCAAGAAGCCAATTCAAAAATAATGTTCTCCACGGTACTTCTAAAGCAAGGCTCAGTAGACTACTGGTGAGAACATTAGTATATCACCACTAATCAACTGCTTAAGTGTGTATGTGTAGTAAGACTTCATCTAGAGGACTATGTTTGGTTTCTTAATCAAAAACATGAGAAATTCCATGTACAGTAAAACTCCATTATTCCAGCATCTGATGGTCCGGCACCATCAGGAACCCAGAAGTGCTCCGGGCAGCTGGACCATTGGAGCTGCTCTGCCCCTGGCTTCCCCGATTCAGCTGCTGCTGAAACTGACCAGCGGCTGAATTGGGGAAGCCGGGGGCAAAGCAGCTGGAGTGCTGCTGGTAGGTCCCGTAGTGCTGCCTCTCAGGGCTGCAGGACCAACCCGGCAGCACCCCAGCTGTCCCCGATTCAGCCGCCGCTGATGACCAGCGGCTGACTCCGGGAAGCCGGAGGCAGAGCTGCTCTGCCCCGAGTTTCATGGCTGGCTGACTTGGGGACGCCGGGGGCAGAGCAGTTGGGGTGCTGCCAGGTTGGTCCGATAGCGCCACCCTTTGGCGCTTTGGGACCAACCCGGCAGCACCCCAGTTGCTCTGCCCCAGGCGCCGCCAAGAGCAAATGAGGTGCTGCTGGGTTGATCTCGCAGCACAAAGGGGCGGCGCTACCGGACCAACCCGGCAGTACCCCAGCTGCTCTGCCACAGGTGTCCCAAAATAGCTTTAGGACCCAGGGGGTGCCAGATTATCAGATATGCCGGACTATCAGAAGGGGGGGCTATAAGGGGTCTGGAGTGGCATCCCCCCCCCACCACCACCACCCTAGACCCCTCATAGCCCCCGCTTCCGATAGTCCATCATATCTGATAATCCAGCACCCCCTGGGTCCTAAAGGTGCCGGATTATCGGAAGTTTACTGTGTAAAATACACTGAAGTTAACAAATTGCGTGCATACATATGTGGTTAAATTCCGATGGTAAGTACAGTAAGTTAGTAAATATGGATCGTTGCTTAGGAAAATAATCCATTTTTTTCCTTCAGCTACAGAAATGAGAAAGTATTTTCTTGAGTAAACTGCTGGCCTTTACAAAAATTAATAGTTGCCAGGGAACTGCAGTCCTCAATATTGTATATGTGATGTGAGTTGTGTACTCCTAAAAAAATAAAAAGTAATTTTTAAAAAGAAAGAAATCAGTCTGAAAACATTACTTAATGTTGTGGCATATTGACAAAGGCCACAATCCAGATCAAAGCTGTTACTACTTTTGCTTATATATGAATCATTCCCTTTCCCCCTTTACAAAGGAGGTAGTTAAGAACAGACCATAGTTGTGTTAGAATTCTATCTTTCCTGCATCATAACTAGTTATCAAAATGTTCCATTAATTTGAACTTTACGAAAGGAACGTGTCAAACTTTCTAAAGGGATTACATTTCCATTTTCAGAATTAAGCCACCTCTTAGGACAAATCACATTTTGCTAGTGGCACCTCCAATTTAGAATAAGCTAATCTAGAAAAGAAACCATTTATCCAAGGATCAAATAATCATAAGAACTACAGGTGCTGTCATTCTGATCTGAAAAATACTTAGATGTTTTAATAGAGACCCCAGTTTCACCATTTTTAAATAAAATTGAAAATTCTGATTGTAGCTGTAATACCAAATATAGTGTAAGTAATTTTTGTAGTATAGATTTGTTTAATTTCTCTATGGAGCTAGTTTCAGAACCAAATTGTTATTTCTCTTCCCTTACCTTGCTATGATGGATTCAGCTGGCAGGATATTGGGAATGTAGTGAATCAAAGGGGAAATGAAATGTCCGTTAAGTATTTTACAGTCTGATTGCTCCTCAATCTGCAGAGAGAAATAAAAGTTAAAAATTTATGACCAACATATTTTATATGCACTGAAGGCTGAACATTAATATATGGGTTTCTAGACTGGAATTAAATTTTAGCACAAAAATCCACAGTTTTCAAAGTGTAATTCTTGTACCCAAATGCCATCCCAGACCCCGCATCTCCTTCTGAACCCCAATCTCCCTGCGCCAGCCTGCAGCTCCCTCCTACACCCAAGCTTCATCCCAAATCCTGCACCCCATCCATTAATATAATAGAAATGTGCAGCCTGTAACAATTTCCCAAAATTTTGTGGAGTGGACCCCCTGTGAAAATTATTGCATGTCCCTGCTCTGGAATTTTTAAATGTTACCCCTCAGTCAGACAAAGGCACTATTAGCAACTCCCACCCCAAATGCTTATCAGGTTCCTTCTGCTACTCTGTTAGCCCATGATCATGCCCTGAATTCTAATTCTAAAAAGCAATACATGCTGTACTGAAATTAGGCTGAACCAAAAATATCGGTAAAACCTACAGTTCACATTGCACCAAACCTCTCTAATATAGAGAGCTTTCATTCCACTTCATCTGTAAATAAGAGTACTAAAATTATGTTTACACCTGCTACTTTTTTTCTTTTCTTTTGAATACCTTGTCAATGAACACTGGATAATCTCTTGAAACCAGCTTCTGGCATTTTTCCCTGTTTCCAATAATCTTTCTGAATTCAAATATTCTGTTAAAAAGCAAGATACAGAAGAAATGCAGGAAGGTTTTTTTTTGTTAAATATTTGTTTACATCAAAACCAGATGTCATGCTATTATCTGAATTAGTGCATTTTTCCTGTCCGAAAAAGGCAAAATTAAAGGAGACACAAAAACCAGGAAGTTTTTCATTAGAAACAAACTTCTCATTTCTGGGTAAAGCAGCTACTGATAGCTGTACAGTTTTACTTTCGCAGAAAAGGAATGGCTAGAATTGTTTTACTATACTACTTTATTTTGCTAAGTTTTTAAAGCATTACTTAAATCTTTTTTTTTTTAAAAGAGGTATAAACTTTTGAATTCAGTCTAGCTCAGATTAAGGTATGACCATTACAGGTGCATGCCTAGAATGCTAGGTCCTGGAGTCATGAGTTTAAACTAGATTCTCAACATTCATTTAAAAAAAAATTAGTCCTCACTGTTGAAATGAAATACTTGCAAGTGTGGCATGCAAGATTCCCTCTACACTGTCAACTTCACATTGACATCCCTACTTTCAACTCCTCATATTCTTGTCAATATCTGTTGGTGAATTGGGGTACACAATTCCAGTTCAGAAAGCAGTATTTGTCCAGGATTGCAAGGTAATGAACAATTAACACTTATAGGATGGCTGAAGAATATGATCTCCAAACAAAGAGATCAACCAACATTTTAGAATTTTTATCCCTGGGATATGCTTTATGTGGCTCCTATTGTTTGGACAGTGACTAGGATCAAAGAGTGAAGAGTAAGATAGTTAAAGAGGTGATCGGACACTGCCTATTTTATTAGCTGTAAGCACCAAGAAGTCAGGAGTACAAAGGTCTCTAACAGTTTCCATTAAAGGAAAAAGGTACCAACTCCATAGGTTTTCCTGAATTGGAGCATGCATAGGAAAAAAAAAGGGGGGGGTACGTAGCATCCATCTGCAGCCAGCTCCCGACTCCTTGAGTACCTCCCATATGTTGGTAGCCCTGCCAATCAATTCCTCCCATTCTCTCACATTGCCACTGGCCTGCCACTATCAGCTGTTCTGTGGCATCTGGCGAGGGAATGGGAAGAGTTGATTGTCCTGGGGGAGAGGTAAAGGGGGTGAGGTGGGGTGGGGTGGGGTGTGCTTGGTGAAAAGGGAGGAAATTGGTGGAAAGAGGTGGAGCGGGGGCACAGAGACACAGAGCAGGCAGGGAGGCTTAGGAGAAGAGACTGGGTGGGGAGAGGACCTGAGGAACCCCTGGGACCCAGAGGAAGCTGGTGCCTGTGCATTAAACTGTTATTTATTGGCACTAACAATTTATTGAGACTTGGCGAGTGCAAATATGGAGAAGTTTGTAGGACTACTTTTGCACTATACTGACTGGGATTTCCAAGGTGACAGTTATCATCCTAAGAACTTCATGAAGATCCAGCAGTCTGGTTTGAAGCTACAATGGTTCACCGAAGAGGACAAAAATCATTGTCATAACATGTTGGGCTTCTGTCTCCTGAAAGTCATCTTGTTCATCTTCTGCATCAGGTTCATAATCTAGCAGATGAGTGAGATTTAGAAGGGAAAGATGACCTTGCTCTAGTTACCTGAGAGGCAAATGGAGTCTTGCCTGTAGGATGCAGCCCATATTAGACTCAAAGGCCATGAATGCATGAGGTTCTGGAAGAAGTGCAAGCCGTGATAGATGCTGTGCACTATCCCTGTCCCTGTAATCCCTCATGTGGGTTTCTGAATGCTCTTTCAGACAGGTAAGGCTCATAAAGATCCAGGAACCAAAGCAGATAGATGAAGCGGATCTCTTAAGTGCTTGATTAGGACTAGGAGGCTCCTGAGCTAGTGGTTCTGGGTTTCTTAGAAGACGACAGATATGGAAATTCAGGTTAGTCCAGAGCTGTCAACTCTGACTCTTATGATTTGTGTAGGTACTGTAAAGAGAGGCTCCAGTGGTAAAGACCCGGCAAGAAAAATTATCAGTATCATCATCAAGTTGGTATGAAATATGTCAGTGCCAAGGTTTTCATTACCAGAGACCGAATATGTTTTCACTGCTTATCCAGAGAAGTCTGACAGACATTCCTGAAGCTGACTTCAGTGTCAGTTATTTGGATGGTTGGTAACAGGTAGTGGGCACATCAATGGCTATTGAAAAGCGTGCCAAGGTCAATGGGACTCAATCTGGCTCTTGAACTCCCTCCTAGGGTGATCTGTTTGGAACTAGAGAGGGAAATCTATCTCTCTCATCATGATGCATCAGCGTTCATTCCTTCAGGCCTCTCTCGTCAGAGGACTGGGCTGCAGTGAAGGATGGTTTGGCTGACTTTGTAGTAGAGGAATGGCCTATACGCAAAGGCAGAGATGGCAGTTCTTTCCCAGTCACAGGAGAGACGAATGAACTGGAAAGCAACTGAGTCTACCACTATCCTTTATGCTCTTGGCTAGACAGTGCTGCAGAGTGCATAGTCCCAACAGACATTGTAATGCAAAGGGACTCACATGCATTAGATGCAAGTGCACCTGAAGTGGTATATGTTGGCAATCCATTTAAAGAAGCCTAGATTTTGAAATTAACCATGATAATCCTTAAAATACCCTGAAATAGAACTATCAAAGGTAAAAGCTATTAGAATTAATGCAATGCCAACTGATATGGAGGCTTCATTGTGGAAGGCACTAAGGGCTTATCTAGACTACGCAGAACGGTCGAAAGAGGATATGCAAATTCCGTGGGCATTTGCATATCTTCTTCCAATTGCACTTTCGAAAATGGAAAAAAGGAGGTTTAGGCGGCTTTTCGACAAAGAGGGAGTTCGCCGAAAAAGCTGCGTCTTAATTACTTTCTCTTTCCTGCGAAATTTGCATATCCTCTTTCGACCATTCCACATAGTCTAGAGATGCCCACAGATACTGCTTTTCTTCCAAACTTTCGACTGTACTCTGTAGTCTAGATGAGACTCTTAAGACAGACAAACCGTGCCCCAGCAAAATCAAATACTAAATAGTACAGCTTGTTGAAAAATTTCTATAAGACTTTTTTCCATGTAAAAAATGTGTTATATAATTGAAAGTAAAATTTTCTGAGAGAATGTGTTAATTTTGAAAGTTTCATTTAAAAAAATTAGAATCAGAATTTTGATCTCAAAATCATTTATGTTCTAATTTTTTTTGCTTTGACATCTTTAATTTTTATAATAGTCAAACAAAATTAAATATTATGATTTACCCAAAACAAAATGTTTCCAACAATTTGGTTTGCCGGAAATTTTGAAATTTGATTTTTGTTTGAATTTGCACAACTCTACTAAACAGATGATTCAGACAGACTGTTGGGGGAAAAGAGTAACCTATCAAACTTTACAGTACACATGAACATAAGAACATATATGGTTTTACGGTATTGTATAATTTTCCCTTACCATAAAATAGTTCAGTGTATAAAAATGCATTAATTTAAAAGTTAAAATGTATTTAGTTTCTGAAGTCTCATTAGTCCTTTAGTGAAAAACATTTATTTGTTCATAGTCTTTAAAATAAATGTACTTAGATTAACAGTATGAAATATTCTATTATTTTATATTTGTGCAGAAAAATAATCACCTTTTCAGATCATCTGGTCTTCCCCATCCTCGGATGAAAAGTTTAGTGAGGAGAAGCCGTCGGTACAGAACATCCAGTTTGCTTACACCCATTAGCAGCAAGCTAACATCTGAATGAAGAAAATAGAAGAGAGGCGGTCTTAAGTAGGTTGTTTTAGAAGAGAAGCACTTTTTTTTCTTCTCAGTCCAGAAGCAACCATAGCAAAGAAGCCCAACAAGGCACCAGAGTCCCTCTGAGAAAAAGTCAAATCCAAGTGGAGGGGGAACAAAGGCCAAAGAATCCAACTGATCATATTCTGAATACCTGCACAATCTCTAGAACAAATAAAGCACACTTTAGAAGAAAACCTTTCTACTCCTATTCAGTTCCTGAATTCTGCTCTTTTCTATAGAAAAACCTCAGAAATACATTTTGAAGTAACAATCTGTGATGCATCCTATTCTAAACTGAATTTGAAGTACAGGTACGGACCTTCAATTTTCAATGCTGAAAAAATTGAGTCATGTTCCAGCACTTAGATGTCAGCCTTTTTCACCTGTTCTAGTCTCTACTTATGACCAATTTGGGGGTCAAGACATTTTATTTAAGCAAGGGAAAGGGCAAATAAGTTATCTGAAACTTGTTAACCGTTTCTGTGCTTGTGTGATTGCAATGTTTTCTTTTAAATAAAATCAGATTTCCACTGAGTACACAACAGTAGTATCATTAGTTGATAAACCGTCAAGTGCTTCCAAAGCTTCCTTCGATTGTCTTTAAATCTTTCTTTGAGACCTTTACTGTATGATAGCTGGAAGTAAATGCACAGGGTTAGAGGCACTGTGTGGACTCACAAAACTTTCAATTCATATTTGTGCCATACCAATTCTAAGATATTCTCCAGGATAGAGCCAGTGTAATCGACCACAGGGAGTCTGTGGTCATCCTCTTCATTTCCTGCTAAGGGAGAGTTCTCCCCCAGCCACATCTAGGACTTATAAAGCTCCTGGACTCCACTCAGGCTCTTCATCTGAACAGATGGCCCAGAGAAGGGTGAGACTATCACCAACCATCTTCCTGAGAGTTCCATGAAACGTCAGTGGGAAGCTGGGGTATCCATCCTTGTTTTTCAACCATCATTAACATAGCTAGCCCGGGGGATTGAGTACTCATATCTCAGTTTATGAGGAATGTGGTTGAGAATAAGAATGTGATATGCCTGGGCTCATGTGTTAATCTTCATGGTTACACACAGCCCTCATCCCCCGCCTGTGCTGCTGCCTTTGTAGCATGGGGGAGAAGCAGGCAGGAGCCAGTGATTGTGGGGAGCCAGCTTGTACTGGTTACAGTTAACTGGTGGGGGCTGGAGCAGCCCTCCACCTGCCACAGGAAAGAGGTGCTCCAGCCCCACAGGGCCGGCTATAGGTGTGCGTGTATGTGAGGGGGAGAGCAGATGTGCTCCAACACGGCCAAAGCAGCCCCTGACCACATTTGGGCACAGGAAGGAGGTGCTCCAGCCCCACAGGGCCCGCTATAGGTGGGCGTGTATGCGTGTATGTGTGCCAAAGCAGCCCCTGACCACATTTGGGGCAGTGTTCCAGCCCAAGTGGGCTGGAGAGCTCCCACCCAAGTTAATTAGTTAACCAGTTAAAGGTAACACTTGACCAGTTAAAACTGAACAGTATTTTACATCCTACTTAAAAAAATTTAATCAGTAAAGAAATGAGAAGTGTTTACTGTTAGAGTCCTTGCTCAACTCCCCGTAATTAAGGAAATGACAACTGTTTACTGTTAGAGTCCTTGCTCAACTCCCCCCACTGTACTCATTAAACTAAACTTGTTTAATAAAGTGAAATGAAGAAAATTCCCTCTCTGTATTAACCGAAAATGTTATTTCTGCCAGAAACTTGCTTACCACTTCAACAAACTCTGGGAGCAGGTGTATACCCAATACCTTCCTTCAGTTGAGTGGCTCTTTTAAACCTCAAGAACAAAAATGTATGGCTTTTTTATTTTAAAAGTTTACATGTAGGCCTTAAAACTTTTTTTCTTAACTGAACTATATATAAATTAAATGCTTTTTTCTTTAATTATAAATCTATTTAAAATAGGCTGTCAATTTCTTTTATTTTTTAAAAAAAGTCATTAATTTGAATACATCCCTGTTTGATTAGTAAAAACAGTTGTTCATTTTGACTCAGTTGCACCTTCCAATTGTAAGGCATGACTATGAGCTGTAATGCTTGGACTTCCAAAGTGGCTGGCAAAATGTTTAAATACAAATGAAGTCACTTTGTCCTTGAATTTTTTAAAATTAACGATTAATACAGGAAGATTCTTAAAAAGAACCTAAATTTTTATCCTGGTCTACCCAATAATCGCTTTTCAAATAACCAGGCTTCTAGTTAGATCCAAAACTATTAAGTTTCTGACCAAAAACAAACCTGTAAGAAAACAACGAATTATTTCCATATTCAAAGGAAAATAATTAGGGTTGCAATTAACTGCAATCAACTCATGCAATTAACTCAAATTAATCACGATTAATCAGTTTTAAATGCACTGTTAAACAATAGTAGAAGAGCAACTGAAGTGTATTAAATATTTCCAGAGGTTTTTCTACGTTTTCAAAATACATTCAATGACAACACAGAATACAAAGCCTATATTGCTCACTTTATATTTTATTACAAATATTTGCAAAGAAAATTACAAAGAAAATATTTTGCAATTCTTCTCCTACAAGTACTGTAGTGCAATCTCTTGAGAGTCTAATTTGTACATAAATCTTTAGAAATCAATCCATCACTAAAACAAACAAGTTTACATTTATAGGAGATAATGCTGCTTGCTTTTTATTCACAATATGTACATTAGATATCTTTTTATTTAATCATGTAACCACACAATCTTAGCAGTTACACGACTATTCTATGGTCCCGAGGGCAGGGTCAGCATCATCTGGCCCCATTCCTTGGGAGCCCCCTGCTGCTCTGTGCTGCTCCCTCTGTATCAGAGGAAGCAGAGCGGGGTTGCAGGTGGGAGCCGGTCCACAAGGGGGACAGCATCAACCTCTGACTGTGGTGGGCAAGAGGTCCCCATGGATACAGGCTGCACTGGCATCCTATGGAACAGCCTCTGTCTGCAATGAGGCCGGGCCATAATGGACAGGGGCTGCTCCAGCATCCTGCCTCCCCTGCTGCTGCCGCCTTTGATACAGAGGCAGCAGGGAGGAGGTGGGTCCACAAACCCACTACTTAAAAGACAGCTCCCCCAAGCACCCCCGATTCCCCTGTGGAAGGCAGCAACAGGAAGCAGGCAGCTACACGGAGCCAGCTCCCCAGTACCAGCTCCTGCTTGCCTCTCACTCTCTGAGCTGCTGTCTATCAGAGGCAGCAGCGAGGGGGGCAAAGGGCAGGTGGCTCCATAGGATCTGGTGCTCTTGGGGAGTCAGCTTAAAAATTGGCTCCCACCTCCCCCTCTCTTTGCTACCTCTGATACAGAAGCAGCAGAGGGAGGGCGGGGGAGGAGAAGTGTGTGTAGTTGGCTGGATTAACCAATAAGCCCAGGCTGATCAGTTAATTGTTTACATGACTATTTGCTTATATCTGTTCTAGTACCAGAGTCCAGGGACAGAGAGGTTTGGTGGTGGGGCCAGAAGCACTGCAGGGGCAGCATAAGGGTGATGGCAACAGTATGGATGCTTACTAAAAATGTGAGGTACAGGAATTCTGCAAGCGTGCCCTATCCTTAATGAGTTCTGGGAGAATATGTATACTGAAATTAGTTAAATGGGGAATTAAGAATAAAACTATTCTGTTTAAATTAGGGACATGATACAGGCAGTCCCCGGGTTACGTACAGGATAGGGACTGTAGGTTTGTTCTTAAGTTGAATCTATATGTAAGTCGGAACTGGCGTCAGCCGCTGCTGAAACTGATCAGTTTCAACCGTGGCTGAATCTGGATGCCAGTTCTGACTTAAATAAAGAGTC